GACTAAGACTACAGAAATAATGGAGATGATCACTTTTCAACTTAAGAAGCTTTGACAGTAACTTTCCAACTAACTAGCCACGTGGCTAGTGACATCTTAGATGTTACAACAATTTCAGTTTGTTTACAAGCCAAACTGGCTAGCAGAAATAAAAAACCACCAGCCAAACCTGAATTTCTACTAGTCTGTGGCTAGTGGGCTAACATTAGTGTCAAGCCCTGTTATGATTGCTAAACAAATTCTCCTTGTCAGCACCTTACTTAATGTGTAGAGAACAGTATGGAGAATATGCATACTGATGTTAGGGCTAACTGAGCTGGTGTTCTACCTTTTGGTTAAAGAGTAGAAGGTTCTTAAACTGCTCTTTGGTGGATAATTCCTCATTCTCATTAACAGCAACATGCTGGCTCTCCTCAGTGAACCAGACATTGTGGATTTTCACAGCCTTTTGGAGGATCTCTTCAACATAAACAGAAAATTGTCATATCAATAACTACAATATTTAAATAACATATTTTACATTCATTTGCTAATTTCATCTTTGCTTTAGTTGAATCATGTCCAGTCGTGGTTGAAATAAATTATATCCATTGATATATTGGTAAATAGTTGGTCCATAGTCAACATGTTATCAACTGATTGACGATGCACATAGTGTTAACACTTGCTGGGGGCCAACAAGGGAAAACCTGGAATAACTATCAATTAATATTTGTCATCTAAGGCTACTTGCCCTATGCATAATACCAGACTAGGGCTGTGCTCTGGCAGTGCCCTGTGGTCCCTGGCACCTTACTTTTGCTCTTAGGCGACTCAGGAATCTTAGTTCTTTCATAAAAAGCATAATTTTGCTAGGCACCCTAGATTTCACAGTTTTAGAGCAATGGGCTTCCTTCAATTTTTCTTAGAGCACAGCCTTGCAGTGGATTTTGTTTTTCATTAACACCTATTAGATGTGATTCTATTCTACATGAGATGACTCAGTTAGCTGACATTTCACTACAGAAAAAAAAGACCTTTCTGAATCTAGTACTACTTCTTGCAGGGAGATATGATGTCTAAGGGACATAACACCATTGGGTTTTGTTATTCATATATCACCCTTAAGACAGCTCAGTTTTCATTGATGTTTAAATGCAAAAAATAAACCTCTCTGAATCCAAAGTTACTTCTTGCACAAGGATGTAGGTTAGATTTCTGCACAGCCCCAAACTACTGAAACACAAGGCCATAGTCCTAAAGGCAATTTATTATTTTTGCCATGTTTTCTTTATCCTAGGACTGTATGCATAATGAAGTGCAGAAATGTGCAGAAATCTTATCGAGTTATGAAGTAAATTCGTACAGTTCGAAGTTGATATCTTTAACTGTCTGCAAGGCACAAGGCTACAGCTATCTAAGTACCACCTTAATTCTAGGTCAATACCCACTGTACCCGAAGAAGGCTGGTTTGGCTAGCCGAAATATAGTGCTCCGTCTTAAACCTTATCTACGTTGTATTGGTCTTGCCTCTATATGCATGAAAAAAACGTACAACTTCCTACCATGTCTCGTTAAAGTAATGTAGTTAGGCATTCAATTACTTCTTACTCTAAATGAAAGTTTACAGAACGCTCCTCTGAACCTACGTACTGTCCAACATTTCAGTCAAACGCACATGGCCATGGGTTACCACGTGTTGACATTGCTGCATGTAGACTTACTGCTCCACTGTGCTAATCTGAACTGGATGGTAATTTCACAGGAAAAATCTGTGTCTCTCAGATTCTCCTCTTCGAACCACGATCAACACTAAATAATCTAGCTAGGCGAAGGGATCACGCTTATGCAATACATGACGAAATATTAAATCTGCCGGTAGGTCGCCATTTTGACATCATACTGGCCGGTAGGGGGATCACAATATCTTTTAAAAGTAAAAAATCTCTCATTCAAGCAGTGCGGTAGTCATATGGAAAAGAAAACTCACCTCCAACACTTAGTCTGTTTATAAAATTCTTTTTTTCGTGGTTTTAAGTCTAACTTTTCTTACAACCAAAATATCGCGTACACGCAGAAAGCATGTAGGAGGTCAGGGTCTGGGACCGATATATGTTACGACGATTTGTCGGTAAAGTTCGGAAATTCCTGGACTGCGAGGAATGACCCTTCACAGTTTTGGTTAATCCACAGTTTCCGGGATAAATGTTAAGAATTAGCGTGGTTTTTGGTTAAAAATTTTTCTTCGATAAAGCAAAGAGTTACTTGCACGGACAAAGAGTTTTTTTTCTTCTTTCTTCTTTGAGAACTTTTTAGCAGCAAGCATCCTTTCGGTCTATTTCCGAAAATTTTACGAACTTAATGCTAGTTCCAGTCTATCGCAATTCAGTTTCCAAAACATGGAGGATTCTTGGGAGCTTGTGTCCGTGCCGTCTGAGATTCAACGCTCAACGATAAACAAAGAAGCCCCTGAGGAGAGCTCCGAGATCTCGCAGGAAAATAATGACGAGAGTAATAAGCCCAAGGTAAATAATTCAACGCGCATTATGCACTCATGTTTTTAAAAGGTCAAATTCGGGAACTCAAAATTTGTCTTCAGCTCTCGAACCACGGCAAGTTCGACCCCTGACATGACGCACACGCCAGAATTAGTGGACAATTTTTCGAGATGAGTTCGTGATAATCATTAATTATGTGGTAGATAATTACGTGCTGGCGTCAAAGAGAACCCTCCTACTGATGCTGTTCTTCGTAACTGCACGCTGAAAGTTAGATCTGCGTCACAGCTGTTAATTACGCTACCGTTCCTACAGAATAAGGAAGTGTTTAATTGAGTTAAGTGAACAGCCAAAGCCAGTAAGTAATTTATCTTAAAAAAAATCGAAAGAAAGTAATAGCTTTATTTTCCGTTACGCAAACAATTGCAGAAATGTGTCAATATTTCATTTTCAATCTTTTTCCTTCAGACAGAGACGCTTTGATCGAGTCTGCTACTCTCTCTCTTTGATAACATAGAAACCTTTTGATCTCCACATGATTATTCCGATCTCCACTATTTGTGATTTTGAACAATTTTTTCTTAAAAATCCTTTAAAGATAACATTCAGTATGGGCATTCATAGTACACAATTCTCTCAGTGTGCAAATAAAGACAATCCCGTGCTGGTCGATGCAGGTGCATGCAAATTCTCTTGCTTCAACTTTATTTATGCATAGAGGCCACATTCCATTTAAAGTGTTTTTTTTCTTTTTGCCTAATAAATATTTTTCATCGTCAGGAGTGATGTTAAGATCATGATTTGTTATTTCCTCCTCTAGCTCTGGCATACACATTTCCTTAAAAATTAGTTACAAGAATTTAATGTTAGATGAAGATGTTATTATCCAGCTGTAGCTGTTAAATATGCCTTTTCTTATTGGTCAGGCTTGATGAATGATCTTTTGATTATTAAACACATTGGTTGAAAAAGTTTCATTTTAAGCATTCAAATAGTTAAGATGGGAATAATCATTGGTGTGTATCTGCATGCTGGGCAGATTTGTCATTTGATCAGCTTGAGTATCTGTTAAGAGGAAATTAACCTCTATTAATTTTCTTTGCTGCCATTTATTTTTCACTACAGTGATTTTGAGACTCTCCACTAGGAGTGAAAGATTTTCTTGATGGGATCTTTTAACCTTGATGGTTTTAATTTTTTTGCGTCTTGTAGAAAACTACAAGTGGAACACCAAAGCTCTGTGGATTTCTGAACAAGCTGGGTGGTAAAAAGACTTGTTATTACTTACAGCTAAATTATATCTTTTTGCTAATTATTATTGATGGGTACCATAAAAACTTGATCCCTCTCTAAAGATAGGGCCTTTTGTGATGCCTCATTTCCAAGTTGTAGTAAGTCTACTCACCAACTAGATTCCATGTTGCCATGTGTCTTTTCAGAAATAGATCACAGATGTTGTCAACATGTGGTAAGAAGAAATCAGTGGTAAGCAAGATGCAGCCAAGTGTGTCACTGATGTACTTGCAACAATTTGACATCTAGTGCTATCTTTTACCGCACATACCCATGGCAACATGGAATTTATTTGTTTTATATGATAAAAAAAGCAGAATTTTGTTTTAAAAAGGGGATGCCATCTGTGAGTCATTTTCTAACAAAAGAGTGAGCACCAAATTAAAGCCTGTTTTGGAAACAATGTAAAGGTAGTGAATACCTTAACCATCTAACTCCAAAACATGATGAACATGTGGCTTCTCCTGGCTATTTCTAATAAGTTATCCCATATGAGAACAGAGAAGTTTATCAGTAAGAGGTTGATATTTTCATTTACATGTAGGACCAAATTCTTTTGTCCTATTTACAAGGAAAAGTATGGCAATATGTAGAGAGAATTAGTAATCAGATCTTAGGTCAATAAAATAGTTGAAGGCAAATCAAGAATAACTGTGAACAATCCTCTCCATTAATTCTCCTGTTTGTTCATTACATTGCAGCAAAGGGGATAAAAACCTGGAAAACAAGATGGTTTCTTTATGAGGAAAGGAAGTGCAGGTTGTATTATTTCCGTACTCCACAAGACAGTACACCTCTAGGGTAAGTAAAAATATTTCATTTGTCCTGTGAAGAATATTACACCTGATCTTCACTTCTTGAATTAGAGACACTGATGTAGCATCTATGGTGAACAGGCTTACAATTTACTTTAATTTAAAACCATTTAATGCCCAAGAAAGCCTTAGCTTCTAATTTTGCTTCACATATCACCCTTGAATCAAAAATTAAAGTTAGGAGAATAAATAAAATGATCACCAAATAACCCTTTCCCTCCCAGGAATGACCAAGACATAATTTCTCCTTACATTATCAATACAATGTCAGCAGACGAGTGATGAGAATAAAGAAAATATCAACAGGAAGATTTTTAGTTGATCCAATACCAAATTCTCCAAACTAGCATGACAAGAATCGTATGGCAGACAGTAATGAGGATTACTAAATTAAATTAAATGAGATCTTGGGAGTGAAAGGTTAAGGATGCTCCTGATCATCAAACAAATTCTCCTTATAATCAGTGCTGGAGGAAATGCTAGAGAACAGTGTGGAGAATATGAAAACAGATGTTATGGGGTTAAGGGTTCAGAAATTTCTAGAAATTGCTAGAAATTTCCAGACCTTGTCAGAAAGCTAGAAATTCATTTTGCAAGGGTATGAACTAGTATGGCATGATATGATTTAAATCAGTGGTAAATTCCTGTGGTGGACTTTAACTGACTGTACAAATGAGCATGAATGTTGAAAGATTTTAGGATAACAATTTATTAACACAGATTAGCTTTTTATTCATTGAATTCTAAGGGCAGTTAATTAAATATGTTATGTTGTTGCATCACAATAACTACAAAAGAAAAATGTGCTGATGAGTACTACTATGTAACAAAATGTCATTGTGTAGTCTGGGAAGTGAAGTCCTGAAAAGGACTGTTCTTGGTTCGATCAACAACCTCAATGAACGTTATTGTCTGAGTCAAGTGAAGAGTTGTTATCAGGGGACTGATATAAGCCTGGTTGGTGTAAACTGCGCGTATTATTGATAATCTTATTTTTTTGTTTTGTTTTCAGCTTCATTGATCTGGCAAATGCATCTTTCACTTTTGAAGTTGAAGATGCTGATAGACTAACACAGTTTCAGATTTGGTAAGTAAATTTTTAAATACCGAATCAAAGATGATCTTTTAAATTTGCTGTGCTAATATGACATCTCTGTTTAATGTCCTATTACAGGACAATATATGCTTGTAACCTAAGAGGATTTTGATACAGTTTTGAATTTTTTTTTTTTTTTTTGCCATATGTCTTTTGCTTTCATAGCACATCTGGAAGAATCTACCAGCTGCAGGCAAAAGATAAGCAGACTATGATGTTCTGGCTTCAGGAGCTTCAGGTACTGCTACCATATGGATTGTGTGGTCTGATGCATAAGTGCTTGAGTTAGTTTATGGGCCAAAATGAAGTAAATGCAAAGTATGAATAAATTTGATTAGTTTAACATCTTTTCACACTGATAATTGGACTAATAATTAAAGGATTAGCTTCGGAAAATCTGTACAATACTCCATTCTACATTTGCTTGCTTGGTTGCCAAGCCTTTGAACAGGATTGAGGCTCAGGCTGACCTCAAAAATGCCATGATACAAACATTGGTGCTTTTCAAATGTGAATTAGTTTGTTATCACACTAAATAGATATAAGCCTCTCTCCAAATCTAAGGTTTGGCAATTGGCAACTAAGTATAATTGTAAAATGGCCTTTTCAGGTCACCTGATAAAACCAGATTATCTAACTTGTAATCCCACTGATGCAGTGCCACAGTTTCTTTCAAGAAACTCACCCTTTTTGTCTATTTAACTAGCTGCCTCACCTGAATGAAAGGTGGATGCAAAGGTTTTATTGCCAGGCTGGCAAATTCCTGCAACCCAGACAGACACAAACCTTATTCCAGGCGTGTACCTATCAACAATGATTGGACCAGTAAAAAAAAAAAAATAAAAAAGGTTTAGCGGAAAAGAACTGATTAATGACTGTGCAGAATCGCTGGAAATAATCGCTACCAAATTATTCAGAACTATTGTTTCAGTTGTATAACAGATTTGCAATATTTCTTACGAGCCTGCTTTTATTAGATTGACTGCTGACCATAAGAGCCTGCATGTTTCATTGTACAATATATTTTGTTATTAAAGGGAAGAAGACTGGAGTACAGTAGAAAGAGAGCAAATGCAGTTGTTCAGAAGAAAGGAGATATTTCAGCTCTAGGGGTAAGTTGTGATTCTACATAACCTGCTAGATATGAGTTATGAAAATTTGTTAATTATGAATATACACTTGAAGAAACAAAATAGTTGGGCTACAGTTGTGATAAGCCCACAGGTTTTTAGAGTTCAGGCAAAATGAATTAGGAAAAACAGGTAGCTGGGGTATTTTAAATTAGCCTAAAACAAATAAATGATAACAAAATCAAGCTTTTTATTTGAATTTTTCTAAACAGTGAAGACAGCCGAACAAAGATTATTTGCAGGGGTTTCATTCATTTTTTCAGCAGAAGGGCAACTGGTTCTCACAGGCAGGCAAAACTTTTTGAACTAAACTTCTTTATAAGATAAACCTTCCTCCAGATTGTTAAACCAGGTGGGCAAAACCATCCTTACAACCGGTCAATATGGCCGGTGCCCGGCGCTTAATAAAACCCCTGTATTTGCTAGTTAACTTTCATCAGCACTTACAATAAACACCAATCTGAGCACCACAGTGTATTTTAGGCGCACTGGCCCTTCAATTATTTGCTGAAGGTAAGGTGAATCTTTGTTGAATAATCCCCTTAACTTTGTCTTGGTGATTTTTTAACAATGTTCATTGAACCTTAGGCAATTAATTGTTTTTAATTAGTATAAATGTTCAGGTGCTTTCAAATCTGGTGTAAATTCCATTAATCAATGTATCAATTGAGTGGATTACCTGTATCAAGATAAGCAACCATTTTTTGACAGGCTTAATTAATTTTATTAGAAAAAACGTCATATGTTTTCTTTGAAAAGTGTTCTGCCAATCTTTTAGCATCTTTTGTGCCATTTACAATTGAATTTTTCTTCTATCGCATTTATCACTTCCTGGGAATCATCAACAAAACGTGGCAGCCACTTTGAAATTTATTGCTACAGTGCTATACAGTAGTCACCTAGAACAAGGCGATTATCGTGAAGTGATGCAACTTTTGACCAATCAGAGTGTGCACATCTCTACAATCACGATGTAAATTATATTTATAGTTTTTACCTCCAAATTTTATTTGATATCAATTGGATTTTTGTCTTCCTCTTACTTATAACAGCAGTCAACCTGTGGTTTATTAGCCGGCGAAGAAGAAGAAAGAGAAGTTGATCCAAAGAAAGGTGGACTCATCTAATATCTTCGTACAGTCGTACTATACAATACAATACAATACAATACAATACAAGCCTTTATTTCATCTCGAATTTAAAATAGCAAAAATAACATGCTGATATTTCCGAGAAAATAAATAAATAAATAAGAGAGCGAATGGACGGAGAGCGAATGGACGAAGAGCTAACGCTCGAGACATCAGCTTTTTAACTCTTTGCGGAGGCCAATTTACAATTTCAACTTAGTAAATAAAACCAAATTACCTTGTTACCCCCACCAACACAGTACCACAGTTTCTTTTGAAACTTATACCCCCGTTATTCGTATGTTACCAAAGTTTATTGTTGATGTCAATAGATCCAAATCCAGTGCAGATCATAGAGCCCGTTCCTGCACCAGAGTCTGTTGGTGAGGACGCCGCTGCCTTGAAAACACCATCACCTGGCATCCTCTCCAACTTTTCTTTCACAAATTTAAAGACAGAGATAAAGAACATAAGGTAATGGCTGAACTGATGTGATGGGGAGCTATTAAGCCCACGCTTTGAATCTTTTAAAGTTCCACTCGCAAGGCTCAAAATACAATTTCCTGGCTGGTACCTTTTTAAAGTTGTATAGTCAAACCTATTCCAAACCTATTCAGTTTTGCTTTGACACAACCTTTATTTCGCAGGCGCAACAAATATTCATTCAAAAGAGATTTCTTAAGACATAAAACTGTAAAAGCGAACGATAAAATCCGACGTTTCGGACTCCATTATCAAGGAAAGTATGAACGATCATGCAAATTGCAGCGTATAAAGCGTTTTTGGCGCGAATAATTAACATAGGAGGGTGCGAAGATCATAAAAAAATATTATAGAAATACTTTCGCACG